ACAAAAAATTCCATTAAATTTAATTTTCTATTAAAATAACATTGAAACAAAGCAAAGTGAAATCATAAATCTCAAGACTAGAAAAGTTAGAAAGAGGAGGGGGGAGAAAAAGATTATCTAGAATTTATTCTTCGAAGAATTTGTTATCTGCTTTTAGTCTCGATCTACAATAGATAATTTGAGCCCTAATCCTTAAGAAATTGACCAATCACAGTCGAGTATTCTCTTCATACTTGACTGTGATTGGTCAATCTCTTAAGGCTTAAGGTTTAAATTGCCTATTGTAGACGCGACTTTATTTTAAGGCTTTATTTTCCATTGTTCAATCAGAATCGAGAAATTTATGACTTTTTATCATTATTCTTGAGTCGAACATTTTGCTTATGTTCCAAAATTCACTGCCAGCGCTGAAAATATATAATATACGTAAGAGTGCGATCTCATGGACTATATTTTCCGCGTAACGCATTTTGCGTAATCAATCAGAGGCATTACGCATTTTCTGTTACGCCTTTCTTAAAAAGGTACGTACATACTTAATGCGCGTTTACGCAACTTTTAGAGCGGTATTATAAGCAACAAGGAGGCATCTCAGGCACATCAGTAAGTTATTTTTTATTTTATACACAAATATTTCTACAACATTATTTACTCTCTTCTATTTTTTTTCATTATATATTTTTATATTTTTCATATTTTCATATTTTTCCCTAACAGCACACATGTCCGAAAGATATCCAAAGGATATCCATAGGATATCCATAGGAGATCGGGATATTCTATGGATGTCCTTTGGACATCTTTTGGACAGGTGTGCTGTTAAGGTTATATTTATTTTATACCCCACCATCACTTTGTCGTCCTTCTGCTCCAATGTCCACGGTGATAAACCGATTGTGCATCACATAGTGCAAACAAATTCAAATTGTGCTGACTTTTATAATTGTAGTAAATCCCACTATTGGGAGGAGCCTGTATGTGATGTTTAAGACAATCACATTCTTAATATAATAAAAATAAAAAAAATTTAAGTTTAAAACATTAACATACCTAAAGTACAACATGTTTGCCATCCAGCTCCTATGCAATGTGGAAAATTCCATCGTTCTTCAAATTGGTTTGCTATATGTTTCCAGAAGTCATTGTCAAATTTTGGAAAAACTTTGTCCCGCAAACTAATCCAAATTGCTTCACAAGTTTCAAGTACAATTTTTGAAATAGTGCTAGTCCCTACACGAAACGTATAGGAAAGAGACTTCATATTATCACCTGAAAATAGCGAAGACATATCTCCAGATGTGTATTTGCCGATATTGGATTCCGAATATATTTTTGTTTCATTATGTATAATCCAACTATGTTTAATAATTCTTCGTATGTTTTTTTATTCATACGGAAATAATTCATTCAATTTTTTCGTTGTAAAAATGTAATTCTCTTATTAGAGTATTACTTGCTCCATATTGTTGACGCTTTTTGGTAAAAAAAATTGGATGAACCCAATATCTTCGTTTTACAATTCTTTTTTGTTCTTCTTTTTTGTAATAAAAAAATCACTCATTTTTTTAATTTTATAATTGACTGTTTATTAGTTTTTATTTTGTTTTCATTTATTCGTTGCTTTTGTAAAACAATAATAGATATTAATAAATCTGAATTCATTTTTAGTTTAATATTCAATGTTAATAAGCTATTATACCACACTTTTAATTATATGACATTCATACATATATATTTACGTGTTATTTAGATTTTCATCATTCACATGGAATATAAAATAGCGTATCGCGTATCGCATATAACCAATAAATTGTAAGCATTTAGCATTTCTGTTGGAACTTTCTAATAGAATAAAAATATCATTGGTTATACTCGATACGCGATACACCATTTTATATTCCATATGCATTAAGGATTTTCAGTTCTGCGTAACAGAAAATGTGTAATGCCTCTGATTGGTTACGCAAAACGCGTTACGTGGAAAATATTAGGGTGAAGTCCCATGAAGCCAGCGTACAGCGAAGCGGCGTACCGGCGTACGGCGTAAAGAAACTAGGCCAATCACAGACTTTACGCCCGTTTTCGTTACGCCAGCAAAAACATCGGCTGTCCCATGGAGCGTATTTACGCGGCATAAAAATAAATAAGCCAATCACAATAACTTTTTACAAAGCTCATTTTTAAAATGGATACTCAGGGGATCTTGTGATTGGCTTATTGATCATTACGCCGGCGTAAATACGCTCCATGGGACACCCGATGAAATTTTCAGCGTGACGTTTTAATACATATACATTTTCATACATGAAATCAATCAAAACAAATGTGCGCATAATCTTCTTGTTAAAATGTTGGACTCGGACTTTGCGTTAATAAATTTAATAAAGTATTTAAAAATATACAAATGCCCAGAAAATACATTATGCAAAGAAGCTGTTCAACAAAAATTAATGAAAATATATATAATATACAAATTAATGAGAATCGAAGAAAAAAAAGAGATTCTAGAATTAAACGCAGAAGATTTTGGGTTAGACCAATTTTTAATATCGAAAAAAGATTTTCACAAGGGGCTAGCAACAATCTGGTGCAAGAAATTACTTTTGAAGATGTCGACAAATTTTTTAATTATTTTCGTATGACACCAGAAACATTTGAAAAATTGTTGCATATTGTTTCACCGCATATACAGAAACAATTTGTTATTCGTGAGCCAATTTCTGCTCGCACTCGCCTTCAAATCTGCAATCTGTAATATGGGATACTTTAAAAGATATGGTATTCCTAAAATCAATTGAAGATAACTGGCGAAGAACGCGCAAGGACGCGCAGGAATACATCCGCTCCCGTCCAAAGGCGGCAACGGACTTTCAACTGTTCTCAACTATATGTATATGTGTAGCGTAAACGCCGATAGGACGCCGAACGCCGTGTACAAACCAGCGTGATCCGTGCTGGCGTAACGAAAACGGGCGTAAAGCCTGTGATTGGCCTAGTTCCTTTACGCCGTACGCTGGCTTCATGGGACTTCATCCTAAGTCCATGGGATCGCACCCTAACGTGAACTATAGATTTTCAACGCTGGCAGTGAATTTTGGAACACACCCTTCGAAGCATTTCTAAATGGATTCTCAGTCTAAATCACGTGAAGGCAACGGTCGTATCACGTTGTAAAACATCAGTTCTCGTGCGATCACTGAAGTTAACGTTGAGCATCGTCAGTTCTTAAATGGATGAATCATCTGAAATGAACTTGCTTTTCTCGATGGCTAGCAATAAAATTGAATATTTACCGATTGAAATAATCGGTATCATTCTAGAAGACAAAAGCATCAGCATAATGGATATCATGAGATTTAAGTCCACGTGTAAAAGATTACAACAGACAACACTGAGCAACTACTTTTGGAAAAAGAAGTTTTATCAGAGGTACTTTATATTTATATTTATAAATTTATATTAATTTTCAATTTTACTTTATATTTATGAATTTTACTTTATATTAATTATGTTATATTAATTTCACATTTTATCAATATTCGTCGCACAACAAAATAATTCCGTAAAAACAAAATGATGAAAAGGGATAATTAAAATTATTACGTTATTATTTTAGTAATTCTATTAAATAATGAACATAAAGTTTATCCACACACGCAAAACGACAAACTATAAGATATCAAAAATGATATTTTGACAGCCTAAATAACATGACTAAAAATTCTTGCGTGCCATTTCATTATTATTCACTTTATCCTAGTGCTGTGACGTGAACGTGTTTGTAAAACCCATAAAATGTTTCGAAAACTAAGTTTAGCAAGAAATATATAGTTTAAAAAAACATTTTCCACTCTTTTCAACAGTTGTCAAACCATGCGACAATTTGTGATTCAAGAAATTAATATATATTTCTCTTAAATAGAAAGAAAAATAAATATTAAGATTCCCAACTTATTTGATTTGCTACAAATATTAATTTGTATATAATTAAAAAATATACATGTATTTTAAAGAAAAATATGATATTCAAAATGTTCTATTTTGAATCAAATTGTAGATGTCCTACTGCGAGAAAGTATTGCGCACAAAAGCCGAAGTGTTCGAGATTCACAATCGCAGTTTTAAAATTCGAACTTAACCGGCGTCGAGAAACTTCTCGAAAAATCTATTTTTACAACAAACTCGACCGTTCGAGTTATCTCTCGCTTTTTTCGTGCCATAAAAAACGCTCAACATATACAATTGACAACAACATTGTCAACCGCCGTCAAAATCCACGCAACTGTCGGGCATGCGCGCCCATACGTCACGATCAGCTGATGGCCAATCAGCTGATAGAAAAGGGTCGTGCGCATGGCAAACGCAATAACGCTAATTCCTGACCTCATCGGCGGCCAATAATGCGCGGCGCCCTGAGGTCACCGCTAAATACGAAATTAATTGGTCCACGTCGCAACGGGCCCAAAATCCGCTCGCAATAAAAGGGGCACCACACGCGGACCGACCGAAGTCTTGCGCTTTTCGAAGTCTTTACTTTACGCTCACACCGCTTAGTTACACCGCTTTGTCAAACCGCTTATAACGACCGCTTGCTCTTTTCGGACCACCGCTTTTCTCTCTGTCAATATCGCAGACATATTCGCACGACGACCGCTAGTTTTCTTGGACACTGATTTTTCTTGAACGTTACACCGCTTGCGATATCTCGCACGAAAATTGCACTATCCTGCTGCACTGCTCGCTTCTTCGCTGTTACGCGTTGCCGCTGCACTCAATAATTGTTACCTTTAAAGTTCTGACTGCAATAAAGTTCTGTTATTTCTATCTGACTTTTTCACTGCACTATTATCACTTTTCCGCGGCTCACTGTCGGACTCGCTCGCGAACACTTCTGGTCCTTCGAGCCGGATCCCACCATCCGCGTCCGCTGTTTCGGAGTGGTCCTCTCAGTGCAGTGCAGTTCTGTGGTGTGCGGTGATCTCTGAAAATAGGAAAGAACAATGAATGCTGATTTGAAGGCGTTGTTCGAGGCGCAGAACGACATCCATGGACGAATGTCCCGCTCCGTGGACAATCTGCGTAAGATGGGCGTCTCGAGCATCACCGCCGAAGCAATCCAGGCTCGCCTCCGCATCCTCGAGACGTTATGGACGAGATTCGAGGCCCATCACGACCTCATCGTGGCGGCTCTAAAAGACAAATATCTCGAAAGTGAGTACGCAAAAGCAGATTTTATCGATACTGCGGAAACCACTTACGTGACACAACGGAGCATGTTAATTGATTACGCTAACAAGCTCAAGAGCGAGAAGCCCGCCACGCTCAAAAGCGAGTCTTCTCAGGAGCAGGCTCCTAAGACGTCGTTGCCGCGCATCAAACTCCCGACGTTCTCTGGGTCCTACGAAGAATGGCCCTCGTTCCGCGATCTCTTCCTGTCAGTCATCGGGGAGAATGCGTCAGTCTCCGACATCGAGCGCTTCCACTATCTCCGGTCTTGCGTCAAGGGACCCGCTGAAAGATTGATCAAATCTTTGACTGTGACCGGTGACAATTATCAGCGCGCATGGGTGATTCTGTGCAGACATTTCGAAAACAAAAGAGAGCTCATTCGCTCTAATTTCGTCGCGTTTACCTCCCGGTCCCGAAGATGAAGTGCGAGTCCGCGGAAGAGCTCGGTCGCATACATAACGCCGTTACGACCGCCGTAAACGCGCAGGAGAGTATCGGGAGGCCCGTCGACTCCCATGGTATGGACCTCCTCAACTTCCTCACTATCGAGCTCTTCGATTCGCGCACACGGATGGAATGGGAGTCCTCGATCAGCGACTCCACTGATCCGCCAGACCACGACACTCTCGTCAATTTCATCGCGAAGCGCATTCTCACTCTGAACGCCGCGAAACCGAGAGTATCGTCAAGGACCGCTGAAAGTGCGCCGCGAACTGCGAAGGCTCACCACTCGAAGACCGGCTCCGACTACTCAAAGTGCGCACTGTGCCAAGGAAAGCACACGCTCATGGTGTGTGGCGACTTCAAGGCGAAGTCCGCGAGCGATCGAAAGTCCTTCGTAGAACGAAACCGACTGTGCTACAACTGTCTCGGGAATCACTTAGTCTCCAAATGCCAGTCCGTCAAAACCTGTTTCACGTGCAAAGGCAAGCACCACTCTACACTGCACGACGCGTATAGTTTGTCCTCTTCCAACGAGGTTAGCGCGCTAGCTGCGATGCACTCCTCGTCCGAGCGCAAGGCGATCCTTCTCGCGACAGCTCGCCTGCTGATCGCCGACCGCGCCGGGCATCTTCACCCAGTTCGGGCGATGCTCGATCAAGGCTCCGAGGTGTCGATCGTCTCGGAGGCGCTGGTCCAACGCCTGAAGCTCCCCCGCACAAGCTTTTCGGTGTCTATCATCGGCATCGGCGGGGCTCGATCCGGGTCAACCCGCGGCAGAGTGGCGCTCAACCTCTCCTCCACGACCACGGGAGCCAAGCTGAGAGCGGTCGCCTTCGTACTGCCGCGACTGTCGGCATATCAGGGGTCGTCGGTAGCCAACCTCTCCTCCTGGCCTCACGTCCGTGGCCTCGAGCTCGCCGACCCCCGATACCAGGAGCACGATCCAGTCGAGATATTGCTGGGTGCGGAAGTCTGCTCGACCATCTTGGAGGCCGGGCTCCCAAGGGTGGTCCTCGTGAGCCAGTCGCACAGAAGACGGCCCTAGGATGGATCCTGTCGGGAGGATCTAGCTCGGCGTCCTTCCAGGGTCCCCGGAGCTCCCTGCAATGCACGGTGGACCCAGAATTGAGCAAACTCGTGCACAGCTTCTGGGAGCAGGAGAAGGAATTTCCTCCCCCCGTCGCAATCACGCCGGAGGAGGAACAATGTAAGACCCTCTTCACTTGTGCGCACTTACCAGCGGACTGCATCCGGTCGGTACGTTGTACGTCTTCCGTTCTCTTCCTCGCCAACGTCGCTTGGTGAGACTCGAAAATCCGCCGAACGCCTCCTGAACGCCATGGACCTCCGGTCCAAGAGAGATCCTGAGTTCGGTGCCAAGTATCGGGAATTCATGCAGGAGTACGAGGACCTGGAACACATGAGTCCTGTGAGCACGACTAGTACAGCAGCATGCTACCTACCTCACCACGGAGTCCTCCGCCAGTCCAACTTCGGCTCCAAGCTCCGGGTGGTATTCAATGGGTCGCAAGGCATCACCTCGGGACTCTTTGAACAGCCACCTGATGGTCGGCACCAACCTACTTTCGGCCTTGGCTGATTCTTCTCCGCTGGCGTCGGCACCGCTTTGTATTTGTCACGGACATCTAGAAGATGTTCCGGCAAATCCTCGTCCACCCCGAAGATCGCCGCTTCCAACGGATTCTCTGGCGCCCGAGAGTCTCCGAAAAGACGCAAGAATATGAGCTCAACACCGTCACCTACGGGCTCGCCTGTGCGCCGTTCCTCGCCGTCCGCACACTCCGCCAACTGGCTACTGACGAGGAAGCACGAGGTTCAAGGGGGACCCTCGCTCTACGCCATGATTGTTACATGGACGACGTCATAACGGGAGCCGACTCCTTGCACCATGCCGTCGCTCTGCAAACAGAGCTCCGAGAGTTTTGCACGGCGGGCGGGTTCCCGCTGCGGAAGTGGGCCGCCAACAGCGAAGCCATCCTTGAAGGGGTGCCCTCTGATCACCGGCTGCAGCTAGCGCATCACTCCTGGGAGAACGAGGTGCATTCCACCTTGGGCCTGCGCTGGCATCCCGCCAGCGACGACTTCTCCTTCACGATCCAGGCTCCAGTCACAGGCGAATACACCAAGAGGCGAGTCCTGTCAGAGACGGCGCGGTTGTTCGACCCTCTAGGATGGCTAGCTCCTGTCATCATCCGCGCCAAGATACTAATACAGTCTGCATGGCTGAAAGGGCTGGATTGGGACACTCCGCTCCCAACCGAGGACGCCCAGTCCTGGCAGCGTCTCCTCTCCGAGCTCCATGTGCTGGGGCGCCTCAGGGTGGAGCGCTGGCTAGGGACGACTCACCAGGCTTCACAGATTGAGATCCACGGATTCGCCGACGCGTCCGAACGTGGCTTTGCTGCTGTCGTCTACCTCCGCGTGACCACTGCCGACGGGACGGCCACTCATCTTCTCGCCGCCAAAACCAAGGTCGCTCCCATAAAGCCCGTGACTCTTCCGCGGCTGGAACTTTGCGCTGCCTCCTTGCTTGCGAATCTCACGTGCCATCTCCGGTCTTCACTAGATATACCGTTAGCACCGGTATACCTCTGGTCCGACTCCAGGGTCGCCCTCCACTGGATCAAGGGTCACGCCTCGCGGTGGAAGACCTACGTGGCCAATCGGGTGTCGCTGATTCAACAGCGACTACCCGAAGCACAATGGAGGCACGTCCCTGGCCAGGATAATCCAGCTGACTGCGCATCCAGAGGAATCGCCCCGAGGGATTTGCTGGACCACCCCCTCTGGTGGAGTGGCCCCGACTGGCTTCCCAGGGACTCATCGCTATGGCCAGACCAGGACAACCAGACAATGATGGGCGAGGTCCCTGAAATTAAAAGAACTGTATTAGTCGCCACATGCAGGGACAAACCGGAGCCGGAAATTCTTCTCCAGTTTTCCTCTCTACACCGGCTCTTACGTGTGTCTGCATGGTGTCTCCGCTGGCGGCCATCCCGGTCGTCATCCTCTCAGCGCCGTTCTGCTGCCGAGCGAACTCGACGTCTCTCTCTTCCGCTGGCTCAGAGTCGTCCAAGCGATTCATTACGCCGCTGAGATCGCCGCCGCTCGAGAATCTCGCTCGATGCCCAAGGACGGCCACCTGGCTAAGCTGCACCCCTTCATCGACAGCCAAGGAATCCTCCGCGTTGGGGGTCGCCTGAAACACGCGATACTGACTTACGATGAGCGCCACCCCATGATAGCGCCACCAGCTTCATGGCTTACCAAGCTCATCGTAGAGTCTTGCCATCGACGGACGCTGCATGGAGGCACGCAGCTCACATTGGGACTTCTCCGCCTCCGCTTCTGGGTGCCGCGAGGTCGAGCCGTGGTCAAGCGGATCCTACACCGATGCGTGACGTGCGTTCGCTGGCGAGCCAACACTCCGCGGCCTCTGATGGGCGATCTCCCGCCAGGTCGGGTTACTCCAGCGCGCCCCTTCCTGAGGACAGGGGTCGATTACGCCGGTCCGATATTCCTCCGCACATGCAAGGGGCGAGGACAGCGAGCACACAAGGCCTTCATAGCCTTATTTGTCTGCCTTTGTTCCAGAGCGACTCACCTGGAAGTAGTGTCCGACTACTTCACGGACGCATTCCTCGCCGCATTCCGCATCTCTCGTCGAGGCCTGTGCGAGGAAATGTACTCCGACTGCGGCACCAACTTTGTCGGCGCGGACAGGCAGCTGCGAGAGTTCTTCCGTGCGTCTTCCCCCGACGGCCGTCGCATCGCGCAGGGAGTCACCAAGGAGGGCGTATCCTGGCGTTTCAACCCTCCTGCCGCGCCGCACTTTGGAGGGCTATGGGAGGCCGCGGTGAAATCAACCAAGCATCACCTGCGACGAGTGATCGGAGAGTCTACTCTCACCTTTGAGGAGATGAGCACTCTCCTAGCACAAATCGAGGCTTGCTTAAATTCTCGTCCGTTGCAGGCCTTGTCGGATGATCCGGATGACTTGTCCGCCTTGACTCCAGGACACCTTCTCATAGGCGCTCCACTGTTGGCAGTTCCGGAACCTTCGCTGGCAGACCAGTCACCGAACACGCTGTCGCGATGGCAGCTACTCCAGCAAATGCGTGACCACTTCTGGCAGCGATGGTCACAGGAGTACCTCCACGCCTTGGCACCTCGGTCGAAATGGCTCAAGGCCGAGCCAGCACCAGAAGTCGGAACACTGTGCCTCATCCGCTCGGAGTCCACCTCGCCCACCCATTGGCCCCTCGCGAGAATTACCCGGTTACACCCCGGAAACGACGGCACGGTCCGCGTCGTGACCGTCCGAACCTCCACCTCGGAACTCGTCCGGCCGGTAGTGAAACTTGTCCTCCTGCCGGGGGTCAAGGAGGCTCACGCGTCCGCGAACGAATAGCGCCCGAACTATTCTCTCCGCGTGTCACTTTCGCGACGCTGTATATATATGTATTATAGTAACCGCACTCCACTTCACTCGTTCATATTGTATATTTTTTTTTCCTCTCCATCACCTCTATCAGCTGTTCGTCTCCGCTTCATTTTTCACCACTCAACTTCGCGATCAGCCGCTTATCGTTCACCGCATACCACCGAGCGACATTAATTAATCATCCACCTCAATTGTGCGAAAATCATTTCATCGATCATCGCATTTCGCATTGTACTATACATCATCTAATCACTGTAAATATTTCACTTCATATCACATCACTTTCCACCTCGAAATAATCCGACAAACTGAGGAACACGTGTCGGCGTGTTACGTCACACATTCCACTCATTGATCGCGATCCACGCTTCATCAATCGAACCGCTCGCGACACCTGCCCGTCCCCGCACGCACTCGCGAGTTTCGTCACGCGCTGACGAGGCGGGCGGGATGTTCGAGATTCACAATCGCAATTTTAAAAATTCGAACTTAACCGGCGTCGAGAAACTTCTCGAAAATCTATTTTTACAACAAACTCGACCGTTCGAGTTATCTCTCGCTTTTTTCGTGCCATAAAAAACGCTCAACATATACAATTGACAACAACATTAACCGCCGTCAAAATCCACGCAACTGTCGGGCATGCGCGCCCATACGTCACGATCAGCTGATGGCCAATCAGCTGATCGAAAAGGGTCGTGCGCATGGCAAACGCAATAACGCTAATTCCTGACCTCATCGGCGGCCAATAATGCGCGGCGCCCTGAGGTCACCGCTAAATACGAAATTAATTGGTCCACGTCGCAACGGGCCCAAAATCCGCTCGCAATAAAAGGGGCACCGCACGCGGACCGACCGAAGTCTTGCGCTTTTCGAAGTCTTTACTTTACGCTCACACCGCTTAGTTACACTGCTTTGTTAAACCGCTTATAACGACCGCTTGCTCTTTTCGGACCACCGCTTTTCTCTCTGTCAATATCGCAGACATATTCGCACGACGACCGCTAGTTTTCTTGGACACTGATTTTTCTTGAACGTTACACCGCTCGCGATATCTCGCACGAAAATCGCACTATCCTGCTGCACTGCTCGCTTCTTCGCTGTTACGCGTTGCCGCTGCACTCAATAATTGTTACCTTTAGAGTTCTGACTGCAATAAAGTTCTGTTGTTTCAATCTGACTTTTTCACTGCACTATTATCACTTTTCCGCGGCTCACTGTCGGACTCGCTCGCGAACAAATATAAATAATATTTATAATAATAATAATAATAATCATATCCTTTCTTATTGCTTTATTCTTAATAATTTTTAATACTTTAATTTCTCTCAAACTTCTAAAAAATCGTGAAAAAATATCTCCATTTGAATGCGGATTCGATCCTATCTCCAAATCTCGTATACCCTTTAGAATCCAATTCTTCTTAATCAGATTAATTTTTCTAATCTTTGATGTTGAAATTACCCTTTTAATTCCCCTAGTATTTTTAACCCTAACATTTAACAATATATATATTTTCCTCTCATTTTTATTTTTAATCATTTTAATTTCTGGATTAATAATTGAATACTTAGACAAATCCATCGACTGAAAAATTTAAATTTTAACTAATTATCTATAAAATGAATCATAATTCCGGCACATATAAATAACAAAGACTTAAATACCACATGAGTGAGAAGATGATAAAAAGATAAAAATTTCATTCCTAGTCTCAAAGTTATTATTATTAAACCTAATTGACTTAATGTTGATAAAGCAATAATCTTTTTTAAGTCCATCTCAAAATTAGCTATTAAACTTGCCATAAATATTGTAAAAACTGAAATATATAATAATAAAGTTTTACTAATTTCAAATATAATCAAAAATCTATTAAATCGAAATAATAAATAAACCCCTGCAGTAACTACTGTAGATGAATGAACTAAGGCAGATACAGGTGTAGGAGCAGCTATAGCCATAGGCAATCATACCGAAAAGGGCATTTGAGCCCTTTTAGTCAATCCTGCTAGTAAAATTATACTAATAACTAATCCCCCCTTATAATCTAATAAAAAATGTATACCCCATCTACCATAAATGAATACCAACCTAATAGACATTAATAAGCCCACATCTCCCAAATGATTACATTATAATCGTTATATAATCGATTATAAAACTGTAACTATCCCAGAATTAAATGAAATATAATTTTGATAATAAATCACTAAACAATATGATCTTAACCCTAAACCATCTCACCCAAATAAAATCCTAATCAAATTAGGTCTTATAATTATTAAAATTATAGAAAAAATAAATAAACTTAACAATATAATAAAACCACCAATATTCTTATCATCTCCTATGTAAACTATTCTATACAATATAATCATGGAAGAAATTAATAAAACTACTCTAATAAATAAACATATAACCCAATCCAACAATACTATTATCTCCATATTTAAAAAATTTAAATTAAATAATATCCACTCAAATATAATTCTCAACTTTAAATAATACAAATATAGCCCCCCCAGATAAAAAAAAATTCTTAATATTAACATAAAACAACAATGCACATATAAATTAATTATAACTTAAGCTAAATATACATTATTTTATATCATTAATTCCACAAATTAATATTTTAGATTTTAAACTACTTAAATAATTTTTCTTTATATATTAATTAATAACTTCTAAACCACTAAATTAAAATTACCAGGCTCCGCCCCCCTAATACAACATAATTAAATAAAATAATAATATAATTAAAGGAATAAAATGAAAAATTAAAATTATATAATCTTTTAAATAAACTAAAAATAATTGTTTACTCTCTACATAAACCATTCCATGTTGAACATATGAATATAAATACAATGAATAAGCCCTATTAAAGAAACAAATAACTATTAAATAGATTATCAATACAATCTCTCACGCTACAATAACTCTAATTATAAACTTCTCTAATAAAATTTAAAGACAAAGGAAAAGAAAAATTTATCGCACAATAAATTATCCATATCCCATTTACCATAACCCTAAAGAAGGATAAATATTCAATATTCCCTTATTAAAAAACATTAATCGTCTCATTGACCGTTCATAATATAAATTTACCATAAAAAATAACCCAGAAGAAACCCAGAACATAAACCATGAGAAATTATTAAAATATAAGACCTAATAAATCCTAATTTCATTATAGTAAATAAACAACGTAATATTACATTCATATGAACAACTGAAGAATAAGCTACCAATCTCTTCATATCAATTTGAACTAATCTTACCAACCTAATATAAATCCCCCCTAAAACTCCTACTCTCATAAAAATATACCTATACTTTAAAGACCTTAAATAAAAAATCTCAAGAAATCGTAATAAACCATACCTCCCTAATTTCAACAGAACTGCAGCCAAAATCATCGACCCAAACACTGGGGCCTCAACATGAGCTTTAGGTAATCATAAATGAAATAAAAATACAGGCATCTTAATTAAAAATGCTATAAACAAAATCAAATAATCAACCTTAAACTAAAATAATTTATTTTCAATAATTCTATTTCAAATGTCTGTCTAACCTTATATAACTTTATAATATAAGTTAACAAAGGCAAAGAAATAAATATAGTATATATTAATAAATA